CTCTACCAAACATGTATGATGTAGATGTCTACCAGACACAGCATCCACTTACCCTCAGGTGGATTGTGTGCTCATTTGTCTAACTTTTCCTGAAAAAAATAAAGCACTAGATAATGAAAGAAACAACTAACTAAACAATTAAATAAAAGTAATTTTACCGATTTTATCGCGTTTAATTTTAGCTTTTTAATTTCCGACGTTTCAGGCACTTCACATTGCCCATGGTCATAAGGTGACTGTCAGAATGGCTTTGCTTAATGTTGAGTTTTGGCGTTAATATAAGAGGTCATTAAACTCTGCAAAATTTAAATAATTCCAACAAAAACCTATTGATCGTTCGTTGAGCAACTTCCAACAAAAAATACTCACTAGCTTTCATATGTCGACTGTTTGTGACGAGTAATAATGGCATAAACTTTAAAATGTGTGCAAATTAAACATTTACACATAACATAGAAAATAAACAAACAGACAAATTGTAAATATACGTCACACTAAACCAGCCATTCACTATTATTTACATCCGTAGTCTGTTTCTCACACTTTTTTTGCAGTCCTTGCAGATAAGTAAGTCCTTACGGGTGACAAAATATCTACATTTTGATTATTAATCAAGGATAAAATGGGCCACAATATCTACTTACCATTAGGTGAACTGTGTGTTCGTTTTTCACCCTTATTCTATAATATGTCTCGGAGTATGTCCCTTAATTTTCGATATAAAATTCATAAGCGTGTGATAACCTCGATGGCACCGACGCTTACTTCGAAACCTTTTATTAATTCATTTAGAACTTTATTTCATATATATCGATGATTTGAAAATAAATGAATGTTATTAGGTTTTCTTGTATCATTAAAAGTTATTCATTTTTATATAAATGTTATATTTGTTTAACAAAATTTGTTCTTTTTTAAAATTTGGGATTGATTATTTTAAACAAAACTACTTTTAACGGATTTTGTCGTGTACCTATATTAACTTATTTGATATTACCGACGTTTCGAACACTTCACAGCACTCATGGTCACGGGGGGCTGAGGTGTTTGACGTCCCAATGTCATAGTTAACCACGGCTATATTTACGTTCCGATCTACGCAGTATGAACTACTACTACTTTGAAGTCTTGTAGTTGTATACTTAGATTGGCATTTAATTTGATTAATTATAGAATCCCAAGCAAATTGTAGCACCCAGCCATCTTCTCTATTAAAATTTGGATGTTTTATTATTTCAATAGCCTCGCGAATCATTCTTGGAAAGAATCGGTGTTCTTTAGCGAGGATTTGTGGTCTATTAAATGTAATGTAATGACGGGGGCGATTCTGTACGTGTTTATAGACTGCAGACTTCCCGGAGCGTCGATTCTTCACATCTACTATGTGTTCTTTGAACGCGCGCTTTTATTGGTCTTTTAGTTTGTCCTCTATAAGAGAGACCATATGAGAATTATTTGTGGTCTGGCATATATAGGGTAAACAAAACGATCTATAAAAACCTGCATAAAAGAATATATAGCTGACGTGAAATATCAATGCCCCGGGAAGTCTGCAGTTTGTGACCATATCCTAGACCCTGAAATTGCATTAGATTTAATAGACCACAAATTCTCGCTTGAGAATATTAATTCCTGCCAAGGATGAAACGTGAGGCTGTTGAAATTAAAAACGTCATAATTTCAATAGAGAGGGAGGTAATTAATAAAAGTCAGGTCATTATTATAATTATTATACATATTTTAATATTTAATCGGTGGTTAACTTCTGAATGACCAGCTCTGTTGCGGTCATACTCACACAAATAATATATTTTTGTATGTGAATAGGGTTTAAATCAGGCAATGCTAGGAGCCCATAGGTGGCGCTTTATTCATATTACTAACATATTCTATAATTATTTCAAAAACGTATATAAACGAAGTAAAAACCTAAAAAGAATTTAATAATTTCCACAAATAGTAAGTCAGTGGTAAGAGAAAACGTATCGGAAAATAAATGCACTTTATAAGCTAGTACCTATATAAAAATTGTTTTATTCTTTTATGTTTTTGAAGTTGGTTTTACTTTGTTTTTAAAGTTGAAACTTACCGTTTTGGGTGAACCAAGTTTAAGGTAACGTCTAAAATTCCGTTTAAATAGTTGCATCAATCTTCAACTCCTATTTTTCAGCCCTTATGACCAAATACTCAAACGCAATTTTATGATAAAAAAAGAGAAATAATTTTATTTGATTGATAGAGACAGCACAAGACATAATATATCTTAAAAAAATTGAGCAGCGTTTGAGTATTTGGGTATTAGAAATGGAATTGTTCTTCAAATTTATATGAAACTACCGTGAAGCATAACCTACCTAATAAAAAGAATTAGTAAAATCGGTTTATAAACTAAGAAGCTATACCCGAACATTTATATAACATATATAATTATACTTGTATATGTGTAGATGAATTGTGCGCCTTTTTTGCAATCGTTTAAAATGACTCATATTCACAATATATTATGTTGGTTTAGTACCAAAATAGAAAATCGCATAATCTGGACCCGATAAGTGATCGAGTTATTGAAAAAATGGATATTTAAACTCATTGAACCACAAATAATTTTAGTCTTAAATTAAAGAAAAAAATGGCACATCACTGCTTTGACGCAGTGTCATTAGCAGTCCCGATGCTAATTAAAATTTATAATTCCGCTGAATCAGAAACTTTTCAGTGTTCTCAAAATATAGGGCGAGATGTCTTGTGGGATTGACATTCGACTTAATTTATTCACTTATCTAGCAGTCATTCATGTTTTACAGCCTTTGAAATGCAAACTAGCACAATGTTTAGAGCATTCTGTCTATTCAGCTTTTGAACAGGCTTCAAATAACTGTCGAACTCTACGGCCCTTCCTAGCTTAAAGCCTTTTATATCTTGCCTGTCTCTGAATACAAATTCTTAGGGTGCGGAGTCTAGTTAACTTGAACCCTTTTAGTTCTATCCTAAAATCATGAAAAATTAGAAAATGAAAATACATGTTTCTAAAATAAGGCACAAAAAACTAAAAATCTTAAAAGTTCATTAATGCAACTTAATTTTCAGCAGGTAGATTTATTTAATAAACAAGTATATTTAAAGTTATGCAAATTTTAACCCTAGTTTTTAGTGATTACTCTTAACCGCTGGATGATATAAATATTTGAACTATGTAATTGAGCTTAAATACTTGAAGTAGTATTTAAGCTCAATTACATAATTAGCTTTTCACAATCGCTTTACGGTTAACTTGTCGTTAACTTATCCTTGAAATATTATGCTAAAACATAATGTCGTAATCGTTAGATCTTTTACTATTGAATAAATGTTATGCTTACGTTTAGTTTCTCTTATTCTGCTTCTTGTAAATCTTTACTGGATTTAGCTTTTCTTTAATGTTTTGCTGAAGGTTTCGCTATGTGATACATAAACTTAAAAAAATCTACGTAATCACCAAATGATGAAAAAATAATTGTAGTAAAAGGCATCGTACTCGCAATCGGTAATAAGAAGATCGTTAGCATTTTCATTTGATTGGACATTTCCGAGTATATACATTTGCATGTGTCCTGGTAGGGTAAAAGAATTCATCTCCTCATTTTGTTACATGGTATCGTAAGAGGAAATTATGAGAAAGGCCAGAAACACCTCGTGGCCTCCAATAGATGGCGTTGTTACCCAGACAGACTCCTAGACAGAGAAAGAGTCCTACCATCTAGAACATAGGTATTGCTTCAGGCCATCGAGTGAACCGGTCAATTGCGGTGAGGCAGTACCTTTTTCCATGGGATAGTGGTAAAGGTCCAACTATATCTATATGGACGTGCATAAATCTCGCCTGTGGGATGACGAAAGTGCCTATTGGTGAAGAGACGTGTCTTGTAATTTTCGCACGCTGACAAGCATAACATGTCTTTGTCCATTCCCGACAATCTTTGCGGATGCTCGGCCAAACGTAGCGTTGTGACACTAGCCGCGATGTTGCATTAGCACCAGGGTGGCTAAGGGCATGCAGGCTTTCATAGACGTGGTGTCGTAAGTCTGTAGGTACGTATGGTCGTACTTTCTCTGTACTTACATCGCAATACAAATGCTATATTATAGTTCCAGGTATTGATATTTTTTTTAGCACCAAAGAGGTTTCTCCTCTGAGCAGTTCTTTCAACTCTGGGTCGGACTCTTGTGATTTGGCCAGCAAAGTTAAGGTAATTCCTTGTGTTATGTCTTCGACTCGGGAAAGTGTATCGGCTACTACATTGTCCTTTCCTGCTATATGCTGTATATCCGTGGTGAATTGTGAAATGTAATCCAAGTGTCTAAATTGCCTGGGAGTACAATTCTCTTTTCTTGCATGGAAAGCAAAGCATAGCGGTTTGTGGTCTGTGTACACTGTAAAGTGTCTCGCTTCTAACATATGACGGAAATATTTTATTGACTCATATATTGCTAGTAGTTCCCGATCATATGGGGAATATTTCTTTTGTGCAAGGCTTAGCTTTCTCGAAAAAAATGCAAGAGGTTGCCAACTTCGTTCGTTCCTTCCGTTGCTGTAACGCTGCTCTGATAGCCAAGTCTGAGGCGTCTGTAACTAGTGCTAGACGTGTTTGCAGGTTTGGGTGCGCTAGTAATGCTGCTTGGCAGAGACTTTGTTTGCACTTGTTAAAAGCCTTAAGGCTGTCACCAGAAATGGCGATTGGGTGCGATCCTTTTACTGTTCCGGTAAGTAATACATGTAAGGGTGCTTGGATTTCAGCAGCACCTGGGATGAACCGCCGGTAGAAATTGATCATTCCTAGGAAGCGTCTAAGTTCTTTCACGTTTTTTGGTATGGGAAAGTTCTGGATAGCTTCGACCTTTGAGTCCAGTGGCTTCACACCATGCGTTGAGACAGTGTGGCCTAAGAAGGTTACTTGTGTTGCCCCAAATACGCATTTGCTTGTATTAATTACCATACTGTACTTCTTTAGTCGATTAAATATTTAGCGCAGGTGATTTTTATGTGTTTCTTCGTCAGACGAGAACACTAAGAAGTCATCTAGGTAGGCGTAGCAAAATTCTAGGTCTCGCGTCATTTCATACACAAACCTTTGAAACGTTTGGCCGGAGTTTCTGAGGCCGTACGTCATGAAGGGGAACTCATATAGTCCGAAGGGTGTTGATATTGCCGTTTTACATATATCTTCTTCAGCAACCCTTGTTTGGTTGTAAGCTTTTACCAGATCTATGGTAGAGAAGATACGGGACCCGGAGAGATTATGTGCAAAGTCATGGATATGACGTATTGGGTATCTGTCTGGTATTGTGCGTGCATTAAGCATACGGTAGTCTCCGCATGGCCGCCATCCGTTATCCTTCTTTGGAGCTAGATGGAGTGGAGATGACCACGGGCTGTCAGATGGTCTTGCTACACCGCACTTTATCATGGCTGCAAATTCCTGTTTTGCTATTTTTAATTTATCGGGTGCCATTTTGGGAAAAACGCAAATGTCGCTTCCAGTGTCGACTAAAAATTGCGTTTTGCTTCTACGGTCTGTAACAAAGAGGCGACTTGGTTGTGAAGGGCTACCGTATGTCGCCATTAACGACTGCCCTTTGAGTTTTCCGACACATAATCACATGGCTTAACGCAACGGTTTGCAGTATCTCCAAACTTCCAATGATACCAACAGTTGGGGAAACGTCTGTAGATGGAATTCGATCGAGCTTGGCTGTGCTGTCGGCGATTGCTTCTATTTTTGGAGCGTGAGCGTGATCTATGCTTGTTTAAAGTGAGTGCCTCTACTTGTCTGGTAAGTTGCGCAATTTGTCTTGTCATTTCGTCAAACTGAGATCCAATAGCTAGGGAAGTGGTTGCTATTTGTGGCGTAGAGGAGACGATATCCATCACAGCATCTGCTAAATCGGCTAAGCTGTTTAAGTCCGCTCGAGGTTGTGATGCTATTGCTGTCTGTACGTGTGTAGGGAGACGACTCATCCAGATGGTCTTTAGGAACTCGTCCGGTACCTCACTCCCTGCTAGATGACGTAAGTGTCTTAAGAACTGGGAGGGGCGGCTGTCGCCTAGTTCTTCGTGAGTCAATAATTGTTTGACTTCCCTTTCTCTTGACATCGATAACCTTTTAATAAGCTCACTTTTTAAGTGTTCATATTTTCCTGTAGCTGGAGGTGACACAATTACATCTTTTACTTTTGCAGCGTAGCGGTGATCCAGTTGAGATATAACGTAATAAAATTTTGTTTTGTCATCAGATATACCGGATAACGAAAAGTGTCCTTCCACTTGTGCGAACCAAACGGCTGGTTCCTCCGCCCAAAAAGGAGGTATGCGAACTCCGACGCGAAAAGTGTCGGTTGAAGCCGTGCCACTGGCTCCGCCATCTTGTGATGTTGGTTTCGACATGATCACGCTTTTTAAGTCTACTGCACTTTTTTTAACTGTTTTTATGTTCAAACGCGGGTCACCAGTGTGGGGTTTAGAGTGTCAATAAAAGTCACCACATATAATGCACGAAACGTTTATTGTCTACTAGTACATTGAACATTTAAGAAGGCGGTAGAGTACACAATGAAACACAGGAAAAACAATCTAACACAACAATAGAACTTACACAACTTGAAATACACCTCGCTACTACAATAATTATATTGACAAAATACGATAGCCCGGACAAGCGCGAGAGTGGCGTGCGTTTTACGTCGGAAGCAGATACGGACTGGCGGGGGGAACCCGCTCACGCGCATGTTGATTGAGGCGTGGCCGCTTGACCTAGATACGGTCGTGCCATATGTTTGACGAGTAGCTGTATGCTCACTCGCTGCGGCGCGTTGAAGTTCCAGGTTCGATATGCCTCCACAGTGCGTAAACCTGTATGACCTTCAGCGAATAACGTTTGGTGATTCTGAGTACAAGGTACGCAACTCTCGTCGACACACTCCCGATCTTTACAACGTTGTTAACTAGAGACTTGTGGACGATAAATCCGACACCTCCTTGAGACAGATGGTCGCCCTCCCGGTGATAGAGCAAGTTTCCGGATTCGAGGATTACCGTGTCCTCCCCCTCTCTTCGGACTTCGGATAATCCTATAATATGCCAGCGCAACTTGTCTATCTCTTCTTCCAGCTCCACAATCTTCTCGTCAGACCTCAGGGTGCGTGCGTTGTACGTTGCCAGGTCGAGTCGTCTAAGGTGGCAACCGAACCTCCACCGGAGATTCTTAGCACCCCCTGCACCGCCGTTACCATGGTCGCCACTGTAGCCAGGAGTAGCGGGGCCGCCGGGGACTGGGGGCCGTTTCTTTGTTACTGTCATTCATAGGGGGGTATTTGCCATAGTTGCCACGCTTGGTGAGCGGGTTGGCAACCGCAGTTTTTTTTTATTGTTAGTTTGTTGTTATCAAGAAGATGCTGCTGCCCATCTCCTACCTGTTTCCCTTTGTCGCCTTTTACGACACCCACGGGAGGATATGGGGTAGTGGATATTCTTGACCGCCACTACACGACATTTTTGAGTGAATTCTATCAATTATGCCTGTATGAGGGACACTATTCTTACTCCAAAGATTTAGGGTCTTGAGTCTGATGGCAGCTGAAGTCGCTTCTTGTTGTATATGTAGATGAAGCGAGGTTAGCTCTAGCATCGCTTCTAAGGCTGCTGTTGGCGTAGTCCTTATGCAGTCTATGGCAGCCATACAAGCCAGTCTCTGGTAGCGCTGAAGCTTCTTTATAGTGGTGGCTTCGTTTGTCTTGGTCCACCATACCAGAGCGCCGTATGTGATCATGGGCCGGATTACAGTTTTGTACAGCCACAGTATGATTTTTGGCGTCAGTCCCCATATTTTGCCAATCATGTTTCTGCATTGTCAGAAAGTTATACTAGCTTTTTTATTTTGTTTTATATGTGTTTATTCCAGTTAAGTTTTCTGTCCAAGGTGAGACCTAAATATTTTACCTCAGAGGATAACTGGAGTTTTGTGCTGAAAAGATTTGGTAGATGATAGTCATTCAGCATTATTTTTTGTGTGAACATAACTAGAACCGTTTTATTTGGATTGACGGTTAAGTCGTATTCCCTGCACCATCTCTCCATTATACGGAGAGCCGCTTGGGTCAGGGCACACACTATGTTTGCTATCTTTCCAGAGACCAGTATTGTCAGGTTATCAGCATAACCTAGTGTGTAGAAGTGATTGGCATTTAATTTGCTGATGAGTTCATTAATGACCATATTCCACAGGAGAAGTGAAAGAACTCCACCCTTTTTTCTTTTTTTTTTTTTGCGGATGGAAAATCATCTAATGACGCCTTTCGCTGTGGGTGGAGCGGAAGGGAGTGTCAGACTTTTACTGACTAAAAACCATCCGTGTTCCTTCAGTGCCCTTACGTTCCGGAGCCGCGGTATCTCTTTCGAACAGCCCGCAGCCCCGGCAGGCGTCGGCCCTTGCGGGCCCCTTCACGCTGCTGACAGCTCTTTGAGGCGCGCGTGGAACAAAACGCACCGTCGACACGGCCTGTCGTCGTTAGACGGACGGACGGCGAGCTACCCATTGCTCGCCGTCCACAGGCCCGCGCCTACGGTGGTCGGGGGCCACGACGTAGCCCCCGACGCCCGGGGCGTCTCCCGCGGCGGCCGGGAAGGAAAACTGTTGCTCTTTCCTTCTCCCGCTCCGCCACCTCCTTCGCTAGCATCACTGCTTCGCAGAAGGTGGTGACGGCATCCCATTCCGTCTCGCTCCGGACCATGGCTTCGACCAGAGCCGGACGCGAGAGGTCGCCGCCGCCTATCGCCGCTACGAGGACACGGCGGTGCTCCGCCCAACCAGAGCACACCTCCACGGTGTGCTCCACCGTGTCCTCCGGTCGATCCTCGCAGTGGGAGCACCCGGGCGTTTCCTTCCGCCCGATTCGGTGCAGGAACCTCCCGAACACACCGTGTCCGGTGAGGACCTGCGTCAGGCGGAAGGTGAGGACGCCGTGGCGTCTCTCAAGCCACTCCTCAAAGAGGGGTCTTATCGCTGCTATAGTGGCGTGCCCAGCACGGGGTTGCGACAGTCGCTCTCTCCATGTCGCCATGAGATCATGCCGGAAGTCTGTCCGCTGCGCGACAACTTGCCGCGGCAGCGGGGTTTCCCCCCGGCATAGTGCTGCCGCACGCCATTCGTGCAGGCGCGCGAGGACTATCGCCTCCAGATCCCATGGCGGCAATCCGGCAAGGAGGCTCGCCGCCTCGCGGGAGATCGTGCGGTAGCCGCGAACCATCTTTACGGCAACCACCCTTTGGGGCGCGTTTAGGTGGTGGACGGCAAGCCGCGCCAAACCACGCGCCCACACCGGGGCCCCGTAAAGGGCCATGGACCTCACGATCCCCGCGTAGAGCCTCCGGCAGGAGGCGTTTGGCCCCCCCAGGTTCGGCAGGAGCCGCCTGAAGGCAGCCCCGGTCCGTTCCAGTTTGGGAGCCAAACGTCGGAAGTGCTCAACGAAGTTCCATCGGCCGTCGAGGACGAGTCCTAGGTACTTCAACGTCGACTCGACGCCGATGGATACCCCTCCTACCATCACTGAGGATCCCGGTGGTGGCCTGTTCCGAGGACCATGGAAGTGCATGGCCTCGGACTTGTGCAGAGCCACCTCGAGACCCAGTTGCCGGATCCTCTCAACGACTATCGCAACCCCGCGTGTCATAGTTTCCGCCGCCGCCTCGTACGACCCCCCTTGTGCCAGTACCAGCGTGTCGTCAGCGTAGCAAACTACGCTGACGCCGGTAGGGAGGTCGGCGCGCAGCACTCAGTCGTAACCGATGTTCCACAGGGGCGGCCCCAGAACCGAACCCTGTGGGACACCGCACGACATCTCTCTCCGCTTCCACTCTCCGTTTCGACCGGGGTAGATGACGGCCCTGTCCGTCAGATAGTCCCCGACTATGCGACGGAGATAGGTCGGCACCCGGTGATACCGGAGTGCCTCCCTAATGCAGCTCCAGGGCATGGAGTTGAAGGCGTTGGCGATGTCGAGAGACACCGCCAAGACAACCCCCCCCCCTGGCCACTGCATCCCCCGTCGTGAGGGCTCTCACGCGCATGATGGCGTCCACCGTAGAGCGCCTCTTGCGGAAACCAAACTGGTGTTCCGCAAGATCCGGCCCCGTCCCCGCAAGGTGCTCGGCGAGGCGGTTTGCAATTACTCTTTCAAAGAGCTTGCCCACCTCGTCGAGCAACACCACGGGCCGGTATGCGGACGGAGAGTCCGCAGGGCGCCCCGGCTTCCGAATGAGGACCAGCTTCCCCGTCTTCCAACGAAGCGGGAATTGGCCTCTCTCCAAGCATGCGCTTAGGAGCCCCTCCAGTCGGGGCCCGAGAGCCTCCGAGGCCAGGACCCAGGCTTTGCCAGGCAAGCCATCGGGTCCTGGGGCGGTATTCCTGGCCTTGAGCCTACGTACCGCCACTCTCAGGTCTACCCCGGTCCCTTCCGG